CACCGCGAGGATCGTCAAGAGCGCGTGCCACTGACCGACTCATGATCCAGACGCAGGATTTCTTCAGGACGTTATCTTCATTTTTAAAATTTCTCACAGATTGAAGATAAGTTTGCAGGGTCTTAAATTGTTTTAGTGTTCTGTTTCTATTTCTATTTCCATTTTTTCTTTTCAAACTAGTCACATATTCAGTAAAATGTCATAATCCGTTTTAGGCACACTGAGATGAATGCTGTCATAGGAAATGAGATAATTGCTCGTTATTAGTTCATGTTCAAAATATATGTGTGCACGGGAGAGTCCACAGAGACAGTGACGATGTCTTGTTCGCACGAAATGTTCTTTTGAACCGATTCTTCATTGACTCGGTCGAAATGATTCGCAAAGCGTTGCAAATGATAACTTTGTTTAGCAGTAATATTGTGAAAGATGGAATACATAATTATTAATGTTATTAAAATAGAGTGAAAAGCAGAAATTACCCAAAAATAAAAAATAAAAATTCTGAAAAAAACACTTTTACTGTAAGGTAGGACTCGGCTGAATTTGGCCCTGTTCATGGGAACGAACCGATTCGAAAAATGGAATCGGATGTACGAACGCCAAAGTGAATTAAAAAGCTTGCTTTTTGCCAAATGGTGGCACACAACGCCACCTGTTGGACAAATCTTGTAACAGAAAAGAATGAAGCAGGAGATTAAAAAAAAAAAAAAAAGTTATTTATTTGACTAAATTAAATACATATTGAATTATCCTGTCCGTTTTTATTTTACTAATTTATAAGTCAATTAAAAAAGACAATCCATACTGTTACCAACGCAACCATTTGAATTCACTGATGCATGCCTTTGCATAAGAGTATAGGCTGGCTGAGCTAAACAGTGTATCCTAACTGATGTCACTGAGGCTGGAGGTCTCAGCGATGCTTGTTTCTTCTCCTGCCCTGTCAAGGGGCCCAGAACGGCACTGCAACATCCCGGCTGTACATAGCAAACACGAGGCCAGCCAGCCTACAAAGAGCCTCCCCCATGTGGAACCGAATGGAGCTTAGACCATGATCGGCATGGAAGATACTGAGTTCTATCCAGGACACAGGGATGAGAGTAGTGAGTGAAGCGAGCAGGTGCAAGCAGGCTGCTCCTATCAGGCAGCGCCTGGCACCGTTGGGATGAATGCTCATGAGTGAACTGATCCATGCAACCACAGCCAGAACCAAAGAGAGAGTTACAAAGTAACAAGCTGACCACAGGGCTGGATCTAAATAGGCTTTGCATGTTAATGAACTGGTATCATGGGTAAAAGAATATTTAGTCCAAAGCCCTTCATATTCTGCCCATGTTTCAGAGAGTACAGTGAGTTTCCACCTCGGTAACCCTGTGATCACGACTACACAGAGAAAGCCCAAAAAACCCAAATCAAAGCTACTATATCAACACATAGGATTCTTCCTCTCCTCATCTGTTTGATTAAGCAATTCATCCATTATTTCTTCTTCTCAAAGCTCTTTTCCAACCCTCTGTTGATGGTGTCTGCAAGGGTGAAGCTAACATTGATGATCAACTGTGGCTGGTAGGAAAGAAGTAAAGTAGAATTTCAGTTTCAATCCTGGAGCATTTCAAATAATGCATGGTCACATCTTCACCTGAGTGCATTTATTGACACATTTATTATCTATTATTCATCAAAATTGACTAGTCAGCAGGCAGAAGTGTGTGGACAGAATAGAAATGTTTTAAGAGGCAAAAAAAATCACAATCCATAAAGCAGATCGACCACAACAAATCATCACGCAACCCATAACCAAGCAGTTCAATGATCAGGAAATCTAACTACCCAGTCAAAACAACATAATTCCAGCACATTCAATAGATTAGCTTATTAAATGTCATTTAAAACTCATTGTACTTACTTGATGGTGGATAACATGTCTTCAAGACAATGCATGGAATCAGAGCAGGACTGATAAGGGCCCTGAGAGTGTTAGAAAAGTTTTTAATAAGCATACATTTACAAAATTAATGTTATTGTGTGGGACAACTGTCCCTTAGTTTGTTGTTTTGGTAACATTCTTCTTCCCTCAGGCTCTCGTGGTCTGACAGCTACTTGATGTGCTATTCAGCAAATGGCACATCCTATTTATTTTTCATTCAATGACAAACTGGTTATGAGTGTTGTATTTACAGTAAACACTGTAAATAGGGTTTCATTTTCTAAATCAAAATAGGTTTCTCAACAGCAGAGCAGAAAATCATGCTTTGGTGCACTTGATCTTTAAACTGCTTCCCAATGGATCTATATGAACTTGAAAATGTGTTCAAAATCTATAGTACATCTATAATGTTCAGAACTGTTTTATAAATCTAAAGACAAAACTGATATGGCTCCCACTTTATATAAGGTGTCTTCAACTACTATGCATTACATCAAAAAAAGAAAAGAAATGTTAGATACAGTGTACTTATGTTGCGAGTGGGCTAGTTTCATGGTTTTCAGGTTTCATGGTATGGTTAGGCTTTAAGGGGTCAGTACTTCAATAACAGATGGAATTACATTAATTAGGTGCAGGTAGGGTTTTTAAATGTATTATGTAAAAAACATGTACACAATAAATGCATTGTACACCATTACTAATTTGAATATTAGTATATGTAGATAAATGTAATTAGCCTAATATGTGGATAACTGAAATTTATAAATTTTAGAAACTAGCCTAAGAAGATGTGGAAAAACTGAATATTATGCCAGAAAAAGAACAGCTGATGATTCAAGCTTGATATAACAATGCATCAAGAACAGCAACTACTTCGCTTGAACACACTGGTGCCTCATAGAAGAACAAAAACAAACCGCATGAGAGGAGAATAGAGAAAATGCTGACACTGATTCAGTGCCCCAGAACCGTTTTATAAATCTAAAGACAAAACTGATATGGCTCCCACTTTATATAAGGTGTCTTCAACTACTATGCATTACATCAAAAAAAGAAAAGAAATGTTAGATACAGTGTACTTATGTTGCGAGTGGGCTAGTTTCATGGTTTTCAGGTTTCATGGTATGGTTAGGCTTTAAGGGGTCAGTACTTCAATAACAGATGGAATTACATTAATTAGGTGCAGGTAGGGTTTTTAAATGTATTATGTAAAAAACCTGTACACAATAAATGCATTGTACACCATTACTAATTTGAATATTAGTATATGTAGATAAATGTAAGAATTAGCCTAATATGTGGATAACTGAAATATATACATTTTAGAAACTAGCCTAAGAAGATGTGGAAAAACTGAATATTATGCCAGAAAAAGAACAGCTGATGATTCAAGCTTGATATAACAATGTATCAAGAACAGCAACTACTTCGCTTGAACACACTGGTGCCTCATAGAAGAACAAAAACAAACCGCATGAGAGGAGAATAGAGAAAATGCTGACACTGATTCAGTGCCCATTAAATAGGACTAATTTGTATCACTTCTGCAGGTGGAAAGTGCAGAAAGGGTATTGTAAACCTTCTGTTTTGTGCTCCTTAAAGCCATTACTGATGTATTTTTATGAAAAAACGTCAGTTTGTTGTCAGGTAGTTTGTGCAGCTTCACTGCCACCTTCTGGTTATACTCGATAGGACAAATACGTTTTCATTAATTTTTCAGTGTGGTAACAAAATCTGAGTGAGATTATGATTCCCCTGTTTCTCCCTATGAAGACTAAGATTAGGTGTAGGGTGGGCTTTAGTGATAGGGACCAATCAGGTAGCAGCAGCCGCACTAAATAAACCAATCAGAAGCAGGGGAGTCAAATTTTCACAATCAACTTTCAGTACAAACAAATTACATGAATCCAGAAGCATTTTCAGTTTGTTTTGTATGTTTCAGAGTCATCATCTGCTTAATTTATTTTTAAAAAAAAAAGCCACTGCTTAAAAAAAAAAAAAAAAATCACACCAAACTTTATTTAAAACATGGCAAATGGCCGCCGTGTTGACAAAGAACAGACCAAGTACAAAAGTTATTTGGATAAAATTGCAAATATAAATTAGGAAAATTTAATTTTAGGTTAATCATTTCCACAGTATGAACATACACCGTCTCAAAAAGTCAGAGGGTAAAAGCAAGGAGTTTACACATTTGTCTTAAATACAGCCAGTTTCACTTAATGGGATTCATGGCTAAAGGTGCAGTGATTGTTTTTGGTGGAAGGGCATCTCTTATTTTAAAATACACATGCCGGGTGTAACGTGTGCGTTTTTATCTTGTACAAAATGCCATAAAAGACCCAAGCTCTTCAAAAATCTAATTCTCACAGAAACAAATTCAGTATGAACTGGACAAATCTGCTACATTTATCATTTTGTAGGGGCGCTTTGAATTAAATTCCTTATTTATGAACCTAAATGTCTCTGTTGCATTCACAAGCACACCAAAGCCCGCTGAGCGAGGATTATGGGTAGTTTGATTTCCTAACCAATAAAAAAAAAAAAAAAAAATTTCCATTGCAGTTCTTTCTACCATATTCAAGTAGAGCATCATTTTTCTGTGTGCGCGCACGTGTTCAGTGAACAGTGATTGTTAATACTGGGTTGCTGGTGACCTATGAACAAAAGGGAACAAAGACAGCAAGCGAGGAACTTGGGTTTGTAACAGAAATGGCATTAAATAGCTAGCCTGACTGTCATGACATTTTCGGGGAACGCTGCTGCATGTAGCCATTACAACTAGTGAGGTTATACGAAGCATCAAGTCACAAATCCCTGAATAAAAAGGAGTATCTGAAGCACAACTGAACAGATCGACCACGATCTTGTGTTTGAAACAAAACGACAATGAAAATACAACAAGATCAACTGAAACAATATGTAGCTGCCTGTCTGTCAGTATGAAGCCTCTATAAATACATTGGCTGTACAGTTGGCTTCTTTAAATGCTCCTTGTGATGTCTGGACTTAAATGGCAGGAAGTCTGCATTGATATTAGGGTGGAGTAGCTTGAAACATCAAGAAGTTATTTTTTTAATGGTGCAAGTTCTTCAGTTCTGGCTTTCAGTAGGATTGTCAGTGCATCGTGTCTGTGAAGGCTTGGACTCAGTAGCTTTCTGCCTTATTCTCCCACAAGTCTATAAAACAAAACGTCACACTCTTCGCTCAGAAGATGTCGCTGTTGCAGCCGTTTTTTAAATCGTCCCTGCGAACCCAGATAACCTCACAGTCCCTCTCAGAAGCGACACCCTCCACCGCACACTGCTTTCTCAGGAGGGTAAGCTTCAGGGGGGCGTGGGATGTTGGAGGTTTGTCCTCCGAAAGTCCATTGAGACCCTTGTCTTCGTCTCCTTCCACTGAGAGGGCCTCTAAAGACTCCTCCAGACTCGGATCAGAGGAAGGGCCCCGGACGGATTGGCAGTACTCATCGTCGTCGCTGAGGATGTCGGTCTCCTTCACGTCATCCTGGTTTTCGTAGTGCTGTAGGTCAAACTGATCCTCCACCCAGCGATCCGTCTCTCGGATGGCCTGCTGGGGCTTCTGGAGCGAAGACAGCGGGGGCTCTGTCGGGGTGATGGGTGACAGGTCCTGGGACGAGCCGTCATCGAAAATCACACTCGTGTCTATGGTGAAACGATTACGGATCAGCTTCCGGCGGCCGAGGGTTCGAGATGGGGCTGAAACTGGAAGAGAAGAAAGAGATAGCATGAATGTTAACTATCCTGTTTTTTTCCCCATTTAGTTTTCTCCTTTAGGAAAGAAAGCAGCAATATTGTCTGGTGAACACTAGGATTTAAATTTGTTACATAATAAATCACCCTAAAAGCCTGTAAAAAAAATAAAAATAAAACTACTGCTTTAATCATGGTAACTAGAGAAAGATGGAAAGCAACACAGTGGGAGAGTTAGCAGAGATCTAGGGAGACGAGCAGAGAGAAGGGAAGTGTTGCAGAAAAAAGTAATCAATGTTCAATTTGTGTCAGATGTCCCCAACATACCCGCTCTGTTCATAGTGGGTCGTGAACCCTTTAGCGCACAAAGCCGCTTTCCTCCGAAGGGAATATACTGCTGATTTGGAGGTAAACTCTCAGTTTTCATTAACTGACGACGTTGTTTGTCCCTCAGGATAGAATGAACCGTCTTCAGGAAGTCTTTTTTACTCTCTGGAGAGCTAAAAAAAAATTATAAATTCAAATCTTTTACTGAGGAACAGAATAGAAATATACTGTTTTACTGCCACACTTAAATATATGAATGCTACTGAATTATATAAGCTACAAAAGTTAAGGACAAACTTAGAAGTTATCTGAAGGTTTAAAAAAAAAGAAAAAAGAAAACCTCAGGATAGAATGAACCGTCTTCAGGAAGTCTTTTTTTCTCTCTGGAGAGCTAAAAAAAAAAATTATAAATTCAAATCTTTTACTGAGGAACAGAATAGAAATATACTGTTTTACTGCCACACTTAAATATATGAATGCTACTGAATTATATAAGCTACAAAAGTTAAGGACAAACTTAGAAGTTATCTGAAGGTTTAAAAAAAAAGAAAAAAAGAAAAAAAAAGTTTAAAAGTTTGACGCAGTGAAAAAAAAAAGCCAGCAATAGCATGATTAAACATGTTGCTAACATTGTTTTAGTATGTTGCTAACATTGCTTTAGTATGTGGCTAACATTTTAGCATGATGCTAACATCTTTTAAACATGTTGCAGTATTGTTAGCATGTTTTAGCTCATTATTAACATATTTTAGTACATTGCTAGCTTGCAGCACAATGCTAACACATTTTTACAATGTTAACATGTTTCTAGCACATTTCTTAAAAACTCTAGGACAAGTTACTGTTAGAAATTTGATCTCAGAAGCAGCAGAAGACGAATAAGCTTAAATAGTAGATTAGCATGTTGGTTGTGTCAAGCCAATATTAGCCAGAAGGATAAGACACTCTTTTCAAACAAAACATTTTACACAAAGAAGTTTTTTTTTGGAGCATTTCACCTTTAGAACTACATCCCCATTACAATTGTGTTACTGTAGTTTGTAAGAATGTGTGCAAATGACCTCTATAAAAAATAGAATAAATTACTATTGTAATATTTTGGTATTAAAGAAAAAATATATATATTTTAGAATGCATCTGTACAGTTACGATACTGATATTTATGGTTGTCTTAATTACTGCATTTTCGAACATTTAACCATCAAGCCATTTAATTTGGAGGAAAACCGCAAGGACCTTTAAAGCTTCTGACAGTGCTTCTCATGACAAGTTTAGCAAGATGTTTGATGGTGTTCCCAAATGCATGTTATAAGTTACCCAAACTCAGAGTAGATGCAAAATGAACCGAGCCACTCTGAGACATTGATAACACTGGGTCATGAACTGCTCGGGTGTAAATCAACAGTGACGTGCTTCACTCTGAGACACGCAGCACACACATTTAATTAAACTGCAATTTGATAAAGTCCACTAAGCCATATTGTGATTTACAGCTCAGCTGACTAATCATTTAACAGGTTTACACTGACAAGCACTGATAAACAGTCTGAGTGAACTGCAAGGGCAAGCAAATTTCAAAAGAGTAAGCAAAATCTTGTTTTCAAATGATGTGGTCTTTTTAAAAATTCTTCAAAACCTGCTTATCTAGCTCAGAAGAGGAGCTGCATCATATTACACTACAAATAGATCCACCCATGGTCTAACATTATGCTCAATTAGTATCTAAATCCCCATATTTACCATCCAGGTGGTAATGCTCCTCACTGTCAGGGTCGGTGAGAGAGTGAAGCTCCCTTAGGAGTAGTGGATATTTTAAGACTCTCTGAATGGGTTTGATCAGGTAGGACTCTAGCGTGGAGGAGTGCTGTTGCCTTGGGTTCCTCTCAGCCAGAAACGCCTTGAACTCTTGGTCTGTTTTAGCTGCACCAAAATTGTGAAGGAGAAATTATGGGATCGCACAGGAATTTCAAATTGATTGCATCCACAAACTAGACTTTAACTTGGACAGGGGTCTTAACTCAATACACTCAAACCATGTTAAAGACCTCCAACATTTGAGTAAATCAACTTCTTAGCTTTTTCAACTGCCAGAAGGTTAGACTCACATTTTAGGAAAAGTTTATACTCCAACACATTTAATCAAAAATATCAGTCAGTCGAGTTAAAACTAGATCCACTCTTCTCACAGGAAACATCTTCATTAAAATACATTAGCGAAAGAGCTTGAGTGCCTTGGGAAATGACAATTTTTTGCAGTAGACCCTTAAAAAGGGTAATCATTCTTCAGTAAAAATGCTTTGGGGTAATTAATAGCATTTGCTAATGCTATTAAATCAGTCCAGTGATAGTGCAATGGTGTTACCTTTAGTAAGGACCTTTGGGACCTTTGTGTGGCTGGCACAAAATGCACTGTAGATCTTAAAACGGTCCGCATAGTACAGGAAGGATCCACCAAGAGAAAACAGAACTTTCTGGAAGTTAGAAGACAATGAATTAGAAAACACTGAAAGATTCATTATTAAATATGCAATTAGGAGATAATAGTGGCCTTGTTATGGTGCCAATCATATTTAGCATCTCAGATGATCCATAATCATATAATAAAAAAAAGACTAATATAACTGCACCTTGAATTGATCCACTCTCTCCAGTTTGTCTAAATCAGGAACTAATCTGGTTCCATCTTCCAGAGTTTTCAGAAACTCCACTTGGAACTCAACCATCTCCGCCAAGTTTCCAAAAAGCACATCTAGCTATGATTGTAAAGAGAATAAGAGATTCGTAAATCTTAAATCAATAATATTTTCATAAGTTAATTATATGATTAACTTTATATTTCAAATATATAATTAATACAATTTTCTAAATAAATAAATGAATATTTAAAAAAAAACGGATGAGGTGAGTGTCTCACCTCATCCTGTGAGAGGAAGCTCTCCTTCTGCAGGGGGTTCAGGTAGCGCTCTATCAAAATGTTCAGGTCCTGTAGACAGAGAGAGTCAAAGACTCATTCATGTTTGACTTCAGCACAGCTTTTATATTAGAAGTTGTAAATCAGGAGTGATTTTCATGCAGCAGGATTATCATGATCAAATCTAACATGTTAAAATGGAAACAATTCTTTGAATGCACAGCAAGTACTGACCTTAACATAGGTCCTCTCAGTGTCCACCAGCTCACTGATGACCTTACGGAGTTTATCAGCATCAGAGAGCTGGCGGGGGGTAAAGGGAACAGGCAGGGGTGAGATGGGGCTGGGCACACAGGATGAAGAGGAAGAAGATGTGGAGGAAAACGAGGAACAGGAAATGGGTCCCTCTGTGGAATTCATATCATGAAGGTTGCGGCAGAAAGCAGTCATCTGCTCTGTACTCTGTGGAGAGAAACAAAAATGTCCATTTCAACACCAGGAGCAATTGAAGGCTGAAAAACACCATGACTTTTAAAACCTGAACATATTAAATAAAATAAAAACATATTCAGCTCCAAATTTCCACAGTATGTCATTAGGCAAGGCAAGGCAAGTTTATTTGTATAGCACATTTCATACACAATGGTAATTCAAAGTGCTTTACATAAAATAAAACAAAAACATTAATCACAACAAAAACCCCAAAACTTTAAAAACTAAAAAAAAAAAAAAAAAAAAAAAAAAAAAAAAAAAAAAAAAAAAAAAAAAAAAAAACCCACATGCCTCTAAAATGTTCACCAGCAACAGGCACACACCCACACAGGTATTCGGAGCATTTTGTCAGCAGCCATATCACCCTGCAGCCCAAGACTGGTTGCCCACTGAAGCCAAGCAGGGTTGAGCCTGGTCAGTACCTGGATGGGAGACCTCCTGAGAAAACTAGGTTGCTGCTGGGGTGCTAGTGAGGCCAGAAGGGGGGTGCTCACCCTGTGGTCTGTGTGGGTCCCAACGCCCCAGTGTAGTGGGACACTATACTAACAAAAAGCACGTCTTTCGGATGAGACGTTAAACCGAGGTCCTGGCTCTCTGTGGTCATTAAAAATCCCAGGATGTCCTTCGAAAAAGAGTAGGGGTGTAACCCCGGCATCCTGGCCAAATTCACCCATTGACCTCTAACTATTCCCATATCTGCTGATTGGTTTCATCACTCGGTCTCCTCTCCACCAGTAAGCTGGTGTGTGTGTTCTGGCGCAATATGGCTGCCGTCGCATCATCTTTCTAGGTGGATGCTGCACACTGGTGGTGGTTGCGGAGATTCCCTCCTTCTATGTAAAGCAATTTGAGTGCCCTGAAAAGCACTATATAAAAAGGAATTATTATTATTATTATTAAAGATTCAGAAAGATGCATTTCCAGTTCCAAACACACACATTCATGTTCTGTCTGAACTCCAAAGACAAGGCACATCATGCCTTATGAATTGTTGGCTGAAGTGTAATTACAAGCGTCTATGTGATAAATAACTTGGTCCATGTCAGATCTCTGTTAGGACTGTTGTAATTTAGTACCGAACGGTTCGTCTCTTTTGGAAATCTGGCACTGGGTGGACTTTCCATCTAGGAACTTGTCAACAAGTTTTCAAAAGAGTACACCCTGCCCTTAGCCAAGATTACTTCAACTTCCCACCATTCAAACACCCTTGTTTTTCATAAACGCACATCAATACACACAAATTTCATCCAAAAACCTCCTCCCCTTGCACTGCTTACTAGGGCTGGGTAAAACAAAATATAGATCTCCATTTTAATCGATTCACATTTTTAAGAAATTATATCGATTCTTTAATCCCAACAATCGATTAGTCTAGCCTGTGTTCAGTTAATGGACGGAAAGTTGAAGTGCACCTCCCACCCAATATATCGCAATAAGCATTGTGCTTTGGTACATTTAATACAAAACAAGGTCTCCGATTTCAAATTCTGTCCATTGTATTGCAGTATTCAAACAATAAATGCCGTTTTGGCACCGGTTAATGTGGAGTGACAGATCGCTGTAGCGCCTCAGTTCAACAGATGCGGCAGCACGTAGCGCACGTAACCTGATCATCTCCTCCACATTAATACCAGTTTCAGCACAAAATAAACATGACTAAACATCCGAAGGCAAGTTAAAAAGAAAAGAGTACAACTTTACAACCCGTATCCGGTCTCATGCAATCGCTCAGTGTTTCAGCCGCGCAAAGACTTCAATATTATTGCTTGTAAACAATGTCACGTATTATATGCACCATATAATATATTCATTATAACTTTTACTGTTCTTCGATGTTTAATTTATATTTTTATGACAGCCACCATTTAAATGTTTATATAAAAATTAATTGAAGTAGAAATATTATATAATTGTAACTTATTATAAAATTTCATTAAGTGTAATTTGAGCAATTCAAGCCTAAAAAAAATCAGTCAGTTTTAACCTTCAATATTATAGTAATAGAACCAACGGACTCTCATGTATATTTTACAGCATTAGTTTAGAGAACTTTTTTCCTTGAGAAAATTTGGCATGTGTTCCTGATATAGATATATATATATATCTCCAAAATAATTGACACCGAATCGAAAGCTTGTGAATGAGAATCGAATTGAATCGTGAAATTTGTGTCAAAACCCAGCCCTACTGCTTACTGAAATGTAATGCATTTTCTTGATATCACAGACAAACCTTTCACAATACACATTCATATGCAACCTCTAGCTTCCAAATACCTTAAAGCAATTATCCACCTAAACGATGCAAACCGGTCCAAAACGACAGATTCCAATCCGAAGATCTTAAACCCCAGTGTCACATCTCATATGTCACAGCACTACAGCAAGAGCTCAGGCTCAGGATAGTGATCAGGAAGAAGTGGAACAGATTCACACAGACAGGAGGAACAGAGGACAGATGGGGCTTCCAGCAGTATGAATTCCTCACTGATAAACAGTGACGGACTGACAAAAAGCCCGCACACCCTAGCATGCCTTAACCAGTCAGTACAGCCTGAAGAGAGGTGGAGCGATGTAGGGAGATAAATGTAATGAGCTCTATCGTTTTTCTGGGTTAAATATAATTTAAGCTTAATCGACAACATCTGTGGAATGTTTTGGACAAATGTGGACTTTTCCCTTGTTTTGTAAAACACACCACACACACGTATAGTATTGCACTTACAGTGGAAATCTATGGGGCAAGTGTTCCAGCAGGTTTGAACCAAGCAGCTTTCTGTTGGTCTATGAGGCGAATTTGTGACCAATTTGAACCCATTGCAAAATCTGCATGCACTTTTTTTGCACTATCGATTGCGTGGATTTGCAATGAAATGACTGGATTTCACCCACAACAATTCACTGAACAACTGTAAAGGTAGCCACACAATAGAAGTCTCTGGGGCAAGCATTCCAGCAGGTTTACAAGCAGAAACGTGAATCTCATGATGTAAATAATGTGAAATTGCATGCTGCTGTAAAATGTTCTAACACTGTGTCTACACTGGACACGATCATTGTCACTTGCGTCACAACAGCTAAAGTCTGTCTACACTGGAAAATGCCCATTACAAATCATTTGTCCTTCGTGTCAGTATGCCATAAATAGAACGAGGCACCAGTTTACTTTCGGAGATTTATTGTTTGCATTGCACCACAAACACGGAGGACAGAATCACTGTTTATAATAAGTTTTATTGCCTTTAGTCACGTCGCTCATGTCCCTTGTAGACAAGGTGTAAAATCACTCTTCTGAGGAGGGACTACTTTTCTAGGTGGATTTGTCCTATTGATGTAAAGTCACATTAAAAAAATTTTGGTAAGATTTTATGGGTACAAAAAGGTCCATAGTGTAGCAATGAATGAAGCACAACTCACACAGAAGTTGCTTTGAAACCAAGCAGCTTTATGTTGGTCAACATGGCAAATTTGTGTGAACCTTGAACCCATTGAGAAAAATGCACAGGGAACTTCTCTGGCTTACACGAAATTCCCATTCGCGTGGATTATTATTTTATAATGACTGAATTTCACCTGCGAACATTTGTGGAACAACATTAAATGTGACCGCACCTTAATGCACTTACAACAGAATTCTCTGGGGCAAGCGTTCCAGCAGGTTTAATAGCAATAATGTGGATCTTATATTTCTCCTAAGAGACTCAAATTAGTTTTTTTTCCAGTAACAATGCATGCTACATTGGGGGGGGG